GGTTAGCTCCTTCATGGGTCCGACAAGACTTTGTAAACTGTCCCGACATTGATTCCGGTTAGCTCTTTCATGGGTCCGACAAGACTTTGTAAACTGTCCCGACATTGATTCCGGTTAGCTCTTTCATGGGTCCGACAAGACTTTGTAAACTGTCCCGACATTGATTCCGGTTAGCTCTTTCATGGGTCCGACAAGACTTTGTAAACTGTCCCGACATTGATTCCGGTTAGCTCTTTCATGGGTCCGACAAGACTTTGTAAACTGTCCCGACATTGATTCCGGTTAGCTCCTTTATGGGTCTGACAAGACTCTGTAAACTGTCCCGACATTGATTCCGGTTAGCATACAGTGTCCTCTACACCGTTATGACACCCCCTTCAGTGTCCTCTACACCGTTATGGCACCACCATCAGTGTCCTCTACAATGTTATGACACCACCATCCAGTGTCCTCTACCACGTTATGGCACCACCTTTCAGAATCTTCACCAACGGTCTGATACGACCATACAGTGTCTCCTATCTTTTTTTTATTTTTTATTTTTATGTATTTTCTTGTTTATTTTTATGTATTTTCTTGTTTTGTAACTCTCTCCAAACTCAAGTTGGTTAGTTCCTATCCTCCTTGAGTTTGCGGGGGGCTGTTAGAATTTACCATAACCCACTCCACCTACCACCTCCACTAACACTCACTCCACCTACCACCTCCACTATCCCTTCACCTACTACTATCTTCTCTTCTATATATAGGAGTTATATAGGAGTTGTACAAATCAATCAGATATCAATCAATCAATAATACATATATTTTTACAAATCTCCTAACCAAATATATTGGCCTGATGTACAGAGATCATGGGGTTTCACAAAACAAAAAAACAAGAAAAGAACAGAACAATTTATAATCAGTTGAGTCATATATTTTTTTTGCAGCCAAACATGTCACTAGGGCTTAAGAGAGAGAGAACTCACGGGTGATAAATTGTATCAATTTGATCTTTCTTGCTTGCTCAATAGAATTTTGTCGTGCTCTCCAATCGATTTTCTTGCCCTTTTCCCTAGAAAATCTCTGTTTCCTTCTGCGATTTCTCTTTGGTTTCGTATAGTGCGTAGTTTTCAGTAGGTCTTCAAATTGGGCTGTCTTTGTATATATATGAAAGCGCATTGGAGTTGCAACGGTCACATTTATTTTGTTTAGGTAAATTACATTGATGTGTATACAGTTCTCTTCCTACCTTTTAAAAATTACAGATTTAAAAACCAATTTTGCAGATTATTGATTAAAATTTTATTACAGATTATTCCTTTCAATAATTTAATTTTTTTAAATATTAATTTTTTCCTTACTGGGTGAATTACATTGACACCCTTCACATTTTAAAAATTACAATCTAAAAATTGCAATTCCCTCCCTAAGATTTAAAATAGCATTACCAATTGTACCCTCGGTTAGTATTAGTTGAAAAAAAATTCATTAAAAAAAAATTATTTGAAAAAAAAATTAATTGAAAATTTTTTTTGTTAGTCACATTTTTAAATTTCTGTTTAAAAACCAAAGTAAGATAAAGATTACACTGACACCCCCTTGAGGTTTATGTTTATTACACTCGAAAGATAAAAATTATATAAAAATGATAATTATTTTTTATTTTTTATTTCTTAACCAAATTAATTTTTAATTTTTAAAAAAAATTCTAAAAATCAAACTATACATAACTTAAGAATCTTTTGAGAAGTCATTTTTTACGTTAGTAAATTGTTTAATTATTTGCTAATTTTACGATATTTTTACCATCTGAGGCATGTTTGGTAACCATTTCATTTTCAGTTTTCAATTTATATTTACAAAAATTTAAAAAACTGTCATAAAAACTTGTTTGATAATTTTTTTGCTTTATAAATAGTTGTCTCAGTTTGTAAATTTGAGAAAAAATCTAAATTAAAAAATTGAATTTTTTTCAATTAATTTAAAAAACAAAATTTTTTTCAATTAATTTTTTTTTCAATGAATTTTTTTTTCAACTAATACTAACTGAGGGGGCAATTGGTAATGTTACTTTAAACCTTGGGGAGGGGATTGTAATTTCTAAAATATGAGGGGTGTCAATGTAATTTACCCAGTGAGAGCAAAATTGGTATTTAAAAAAATTAAATTGCTAGAGAGAACAATCTGTAATGAAACTTTATCTCAAAAAAAGAAATATAATTTTCAAAAAGTGAGGAAGAACTGTAATAAATATAAACTTTAGGGGGTATCAATGTAATTTACTCATTTTAGTTTTTTACGAAAATACTCTTTTATCCACTTTAAGAAAACAACAAAACCTTCGTACAATAATAATAATAAATAAATAAATGAGTAAATTATACGAGTTGCTCTTTATCAACGTTTAGGACTGTTTGGATGTAGGTTGATTTTTTAGTGTTTTAATTTTTTTTTAGTTTGGGATTAAAATGTCATATTTGGGATAGATTTTTTTAATTTTTTTGATTTTTATAAGAAAAAAATAAAATAATTATAATTTAGATGTGACATTTTATTTTATTTAACTAAAATAATTTATTTTATTTTTTTATAATTATTTTAATAAAAAAAAATTATTTTTAACTTATGTCAAACGAAAGCTAAAAGGACAATGACTTCTCTCCCTTTCTCACACAACATGCATTGTACGGGTTTCTCATACTTCTTTATTTTTGAACTTTTTTTAATAATTCGTTGTTCAACATAATTTTCGCATACTTTGATTAATTTGAAAGCCTTGATTTCAAGGGATGATTATTGAGTACTACGGAATATGAACATGTATTATTTTAAAAATACCTAATAATTTTTATGACCGAATAAATTTCTAGTGATCTCTTAAAATGACTCAAGTTTAAAATCTTAAACTTTATTCTCAAATTTTACTGTTTCGTTTGATTATTTTTTTTTAATTTTTATAACAAATGCTAACAAGTTAATATTAAAATTTATAAAAAAAATGTTCTGAAAATAATGCAGAAATTAAAAGAAAGTTTAAGTTCAATGAAAAGCTAAAAAGAAAGTTTCAAGTTCAATGAAAAACATTTTAAAACTGACTCATGTTCCTCATTTTTTTTAGGATAAATTACACTTACACATTCCTGAGATTTGAATTTAATACATATCACCTTCTAACATTTAAAAAATTACATTGATCTCCTATCATTATAATTATTTAGACAGAATTAACATTAGTATCAAAAAGTCATTAAATTCATACAATCTCTCTTTTCTTGCTTTACTTCTTTCTTTCTTTTTTTCCCTTCCTTTGCTTTATTTTTATTTTTTTTGAATTTAATTTCCTTTATTTTTCTATTAGGAGTTGTTACTTTTTATACAAGTGGAGGGTTTGTGAAATAAAATTATTAACTACAAGGATGAGAATATAATTTCTATTACGTCAGGTGATGGAATATAATCGGATCAAATCTCAGAAGATGTTAGTGTAATTTACCTTTTTTTTATACCTCAAGACCTGTTTGATTAGTTAGAGTAATAGTGATAGAATTAATAATTCATGAAATGAACCATTAGATTGACTGTCCAACTCAATTAGTAAGATAAATATGTATGAAATTATTAATATTTACAATATATGATATTGAATATCTCATGATTTTAGGAAATTAAAAATCATACATATTACTAAGTCAGTCATCATATGTGCCATTCAAACGCAAGAATATGCAAATTGCTGGATTAACAATCCAATCCTATAATACAGGGACCAAACAGACCCAAAGAGCACAATGGAACAAAAGAAGGATAAGATCAATGCAGTGAATTTTAAACGGAAGGTGCACAAATGAAACAAACTAAAAGTTTAAAGTTACAAAGTGATATTGAATCTACCCAGGGATTCAAGTTGAACCACATTCAAACCAACATTCTGAATGTAACACACATCATAAACCCCAAGAAATTAGCGGAGCAAGATAGGATTCAAGATCTCAAATTTGAATCACACCAAAAAGTCATTGAGGTTTGCCCAGTCATTAATTTTAAAATCATCGGATCAGTCGAGATGTACACAAACTGTACCAGATACCCAGTCACAAAAAACACGCACACACATCATACTATATTTTACCATACCCGTCTACTCCACAATTCTAGATTGTATGTCTGATCAAATTAGCAGCTTCAACTGTCGGAATCAATCTACTTGAAACAGTAATTTCTTAACCCAAAAAAAATTTGTTTCAACGAGTATGGCTTCATCGTCTCAAAAGGTAAGGTGCAATCTCACAAATGAATATGCAAACAAGTAAATTACAATACACTATGTAACCTTGCTGACCCAAAAAAACAAAAACAAAAACAAAAACACAAACAAAAAACATTACATCTCATGGAGAAGACGGCATCACCAAGGTGGTTATGGGGTATTTCTCTCAAGATGGCATCTCAACAATAACAACCACCAATGAAGAATAATGACCAAGCAGCTCAAGTTATCTCTATTCAGCATATCAAAACAACACCTGCCAAACAACCCCCCAATCCTCCAATACAGATACATGGTTTACTTCACGGTGGAGGACTCAAACCCATTTCCGAGGACCTGTCACCGCCCCACTTCCACCTCTCTGATAAATGGAAACCCGAACCCACGGTGCCGATGCAAAAGTTAGTGAACTCATGGTGCTGATGCAGAAGTTAGTGACAACTTGAAGATCAGTTACTTCTCTGTTGTCTGACAATGGCGATGATGACCTGTGATGACGCGGTGAACATGCAACTCATGGACCCTGACTCGACACAACCATATGCATATGCAGGGACTTGTAAAAAGGAAAAGTATATACCGACCAAGTCGCAGTAGCATCAAACTGAAATTGCACGGGTAATTGCCAACTTGGCCCATTCGGCAGATTCTTTAATCAAATGGTCCTCCGACGACAAGCATTCGTTTAAAAAGTCTTTGCTTGACAAAGATTGCTGAATCAAGGAACCAGCATTACTTCCCAAGGTATCTGCTAAATCTCCGAGGACCCCAATGGCAGTTTTCATCACCACATCATCCCTGAGAGTACAAGATAGATAAGACGGAAATTAGAATAAATAAATCTAAACAAGTATTATTGCAACTACAAGAATGAAACTAAGAACTCACATGTCTTTCTCCATGTAGATGCTATCCAGGAACTGAAGGATGTGAGGTGCATAAGGAATCAACAGCTGAGTTTTCGGAGAATTTTTGAAGCCTTGAAAAATACCAGAATATGCCTCCAAAATCCCATTTCTCAGAAGATTTGTGTACTCTGCCATTTCATCATCGGCACCTGATGTGTGGGCAGACAACTCTGCTGCACTCTGAAGCATTGGCATGGCGTACATCAAGTATTTCTCGAAATTTTCTCCTACAGCCAGGGCTATGTCACCAAAGCATGAAAAAATGGGAGGCTTCACAGATCGGTGCAACTGGTTGCTTGATAAGTCTTTAAGAAGCTGGGTCATAATTCCATCACAGTAAGGCAAAACCTTATCCTCCAATGCCCTGCATATATCACCCACCACACCAACGGTCACGGCACAGACTTGGTACTCCTCAAAATTCTGGAGACCCATTTCCAAATATTTGTAAAATTCCGGCATGTATTTCACGAAGTCTGGACCAGTTGCGTATGCAAGGGCTCCAATGGCAAGCATTGCTTCCTCATGCACAGTGGCACTTCTACAAGCAAAAACCCTAAGGAAAAGATTCATGATCTGATCGGCAAACTGCATGAACGTAAACTTAATTGGCTCTAATGACCCTAGCTTCTGAATAATAACTTGTAAGCACCCACAAAGAAGCCCTTGTAACTCATTCTGCTTCTCCCTCTCATCAGATGAAAGCTTTTGTGATTCGAGAGTCTGGTGAAGCTCCATCATGATGACGGGAACTAGTTGCAACACCATGGGCACTGTTTCATCAGTTGAACACCGCACCACTTCATTCAAGGTCTCATATGCAGCAGTTATTAATCGTGATTCCCCAGCGTCTTCCCTGTGAGTAACAGTGAGAAGAGACTGAACAATTTCCTGGAAATGAGGAGTTAGGGGAGAGTTAGAACCCACATCCTCATAACCTTGAGCGAGGAAATAGAGAGCACCGCAGGCCTTCTCAGCAACATTTGGGCCATCCTTCATGCTCTGAAGCAGAACAGTGACAATCTGTTGACAGTTCGCTTGAGTAATTATGGGCGTCTCCATAGTCGAACCATGTAGGAATTCAAATATTCTTCCAAGGGTCCAAGCCGTTGTGTCCTTGACATGGCTATTTGGATCATTTGTTAAAGCAGTGAGCATGAAATTTAGAGCAACATTAACAATAGGTACTAATTTGTCAGGTGATGGACCCTCCAAGATGGAACCAAATGCATAAGTGGCTGCCTCCCTTTGCCTCCAATCAGGTTTGGTTATGTTCTCCTCAATGAATGGAATTACAAGTGGGACAATATCATCTCCGACAGTTCTTGCCACCAAACCCAAGCACGTGCCACCAGCCATGGCAAGATTCCAAACCCCTTCATCCTGATCCTGATCCTCCTCCTGCTTAAGAAGTGTCTCCAACAGCATAGGAACAAGAGCAGGGAGCGCTTGCTTGATGAAATAAAAGCAGGGAATGTCAGAGTCCCCAGTGAAGTCACCCCCATATTCTTCTAATATATCTATCTCCTCATCACAGACTGAGCTCCAGAATTCAATAGCTTGAAGAGCCACAGGTTCCTCATCTTCCCTCACCGCCTTTGCTGTGATGTTAAAGATGTCCTGTATGTAATGAGCTAATTTCTCGTAATAAGTTGAAGAAATTGAGACCAAACACTCAAAAGCTGCCTGCCGAATCTTCACTTCTGGGGATAGTGTAGTCTCACATACAACTCGCATGATATAATCACGTTCCATATCATTGCTAAAATTTGCCTGGGCGAAGCTCAGAGCATTATATAATGCTTGGGTAGCAGCAAGCCTAACGTCATTGTTCCCTTCCGATGCACTCATACCCTGAACCACAGCTGTAAGTATTTTATTTACTTGATCTTGATCTACAATATCTGGAGAAACTTCTTCACACAAGTACCCCAGAGTTTCTAAAGTGGCTTGCTTGACATGAACCGGAAGCTGGTGGATGTTTGACAAGAGTGAACCTATTAGTTCAGGCCACTGCTTCTGTGGCAACTCAATGCCTGCTACCTTAGCAATGACTTGTGATGCAGTTGACCGAGCATCAGACACAGGAGAAGAAAGGGTCTGCAGAAGGCATGCCTTAATCTGGCTCCTTACAGCCACGTCTAATGACAACCATCTTTGAACAAGCTCTAACTTTCTATGTTGTTCCTTAGCATCTAAGGCATTCTTAAGGACCAAACCAGCTAATTTACGACTATCTACAGGCTTCTCGTTGTTAGCAAGCTCTCCCGAAAGAGATAACAGGAAACCTGGAAGATTTTGCTCCTGAAACTGTTTCAAACTTTCTTCTGCATGCTTCCGGACAGCTCCATCCACCGATTGTGCATTCAAAAGAACCTGGGTGACTTCCATTGCCATGCTGTATCTGAGAGTATCACATGTTTGTAAATTTATTAAACACATACAATGATACAAATCCAGAGGAAGTTGCCCACAACATACAATCCAATCCCAAATATATTTTACAGAAAGCTTATGAAATGGGGACACAAAATCATACAGGGGCATGCAACCTGAGTGGAACACAATGAGTTAGCAAAATAAAATGGAACAAACAATAACTAACTCACAATTGAGAACAGAAAGACTCAAACAACAACATCAATGGACCCAAGAAATCAAGCACTGTTCTTCCCCTTTAAACATGTTTATGTTTAGAAAGAGAAAAACAGTAAATTAATGCATTAACAAAATCACAAGTCAGTGACACCAAATTGTTACAGATCTGAACAGATAGCAAATAGCAAACAAATCTAACATGTTTCCCCATTATTTGAGTAAAGCCACAAAACACTGCAAAGTGCACAGCGGTATCAACGGCAATGCACACAGAAGGGGGGGCTGGGGGTGGCCATGGCCCCTGCAAGACAACAAGGTTTATTCCAAAACAAGTTTCTGCAGACTTGAACTAGAATCGGAAATTGATTCCCACAATTTACACTATATTTATAAAATTCCAACAATAATGTTATAGTTTACCATGTTTTTTTTATTCTATTATGCTTAAAATTTTAATTGTTAAAACAATATTAGTGTAATGGGTCTCATCACTAATATATATCAAATGAATATTGACAACTAGATTGACGCAAATGTATACCTCTAAGGTAAATTGACAATTAAATTAACACATCAAATAGTAAAATAATAGTAAAGATTGATGGTAGTCTTTGTAGTATTACTCAAATTTCAATACCATTTCAGATACACGAAAAAAAAAATAATGCTAAAATAACTATTTTAATTTTTGAACCATAACCATAATTTGCTTATCAAAACTGTATTAGTTAAATGGGTCTCACCATTCATGCTTGATACCAATGTAGTGCTACCACATGAAATAGTAAACAAAACATAATAACAAAATGTGGTCATTGTAGCATTATTGGCCAAAAAAATACTAAGTGTCCATCACCAATAAAAAGGTGGCCTCATAATATATTTTTATATTAGTATCCAATCTCTAGGAGCGTACAAAGAACTGAATCACCTGACAAGTCTGACCTGACCTGCCCGATCTAAACACAGTGCGGGCGGTTTTGACTGTCCCAGCGCTTGGCCACAGTTTGTTTTTGTGAATATTTTTGGGTTTCGGGCAGATATCGGATTTAATTTTTAAAAACCCATTCAAACCAAACCAACTGAATTATATCTATATATATTATATATAAAAGCGTGTACAAAACTGTTTCTTTGCTTCCCAAGACAACCCCATCTAATTTGTGGGTCATCTTACCGATTTTATTAAGTATAATATATATGCACAGGTTTGATTATTTTATCTTCCCAAGACAGCCTCCTCTATTTCCCATTTCATCTCCATGTCAGATTTTCAGTTTCTCATCATTAACTCTCTCTCTCTCTCCCTCAAAGGAAAAAAAATACCCTCTCTCTCTCTCTCACCCTTTTGTCTTCTCACTCTCACCTGTCCCTTCAATTCCCCATTTCATCTCTATGTCATATTTTCAATTTCCTAGTCATTTACTCTCTCTCTCTCAAAGAAAAAAAAATATTTCTCTCATCCTTCCGTCTTCTCCGTCTTACCTACTTCCCCCCCTCTCTCAACCTCTCTCTTTGAACCCATTCATTTCATCTCTAAACATCCCTCAATCTCAAATCAGACATACTCATCAAAATCCAAATCCCTAATCTCATCAATGCAGTGATGACGATGATGATTGGCGAAGTTCAAAGCACAAGTTTCAAATCTCTCTCTCTCTCTCTCTCTCTCTCTCTCTCTCTCTCTCTCAATTTCATAAGCCAAGTTTCAACTCTCTTGATTTCAGAAGCCCTAGTTTCAACTTACTCTCTTAGATCAAGTGTGCGAGAGTTGTGTTTGAATCAGTATATCTGTGAGTTGATTGTATATTTGATTTTGAGATTTATATAAATAGATGAGGGTTTGGAAATTAATGGAATGTTTATGCTATTGCTACAAAATGGTTCTCTTTCATTTTTTTCCCTCTCCACTTTCTTATATCTGTATTTGTATCTGTGTGTGTATAGATATATGTATATAGATGAAGGTTCGAAGAAAGGGAAAAGGTTAGTAGTTGTTTCCGACCGAAACTTGACCAATTAAATCGGTTTCGAACTATAGAACAGTCGAAATCGGTCGGAAAAAGTACTGGCCCGTTTGAGTCGGGTCGGGTGATGGGTCAATGACAAATCCGATCCGATTTGATCCGTGAATAGCCAATCTCCATACAACTAATCTCACATAGCACAAAAAGGTTTATGATCATATTATTTATTTTATTTGGTTTATCATGTGATGTGTTGCACATCACAACATTTGTCTTTTATTTCTTTTTATTTTGTATAATGTCAAAAAGAAACTTATATAATTATCCTTTCATGCATTCTATTTTATATGTCTCTATCTTAATATTTATTTGAAATTTTATTTCCGAATTCAAATTGGTGTGTTTTTAACGGAGACTAAATTGGATTTTATTTCTCTTTTGGTTGCGGATTTAATGAAAGTGTGCATTTAAAAAAAATCATAATAAGTGAATCCCTTAATATAACTTATCTATGATATTTTCATTAATAATAAACCAATTAAAAAATTATTGTCAATTTTAAATGTATATAAGTTGGGCCCCTCTATTTATATTTTCTGCGTCCGCCACTGATCAACGGTGAGAAGTACATATAGTGAACAAATGGAAGATTAACACAGATTAACTTAACTATTACCACCAGAACAATGGGGGTTTTCAGTAGGAACTCAAAACGATTCAAAACCCTAATTTTACTACACCAAATCTCTGAATAACCAACCCATCAGAACTTAAACAGTTCAAATTTACACAAAATTACCAGTGCCAACTGCCGATCTAATGACATTTCACAGATCATTAAATAAAATTTATCAAAGTTATAGCTGTATCAACGGTAAAAGGTACATTAAGATAACAAATGAAAGCTTAACACACGTTAAATCAACTAATACAACAAGAACAATAGGACTTTTGAGTAACGATCCATTCAAAACCCTAATTTTACTAAACCAAACCAATCCATCAGAACTTGAACAGTTCAAATTTCCGCAAAAACAGCCGATCTAATAACATTTCACAGATTAACAAACAAACTATATCAAAGTGAAAGTATTTAAACACATTTCAATACCGATCATTGATGACCCAATATTTTTTTCTTCTGGGTAAAACAAAAGATACAAAATTTGAAGAACCTGAGACCAATTAAGGCGGCCCAGAGCAAATCGAATCGATGAAAAACAGATCGAACATAGAAATCAACATACGCGACCCTAATCAGATTCAAATTGAGGAAAATAGAGGAGGGTTTGGAAAGGTGATTACGAAATTACCTGAGTCTCGAATTCTATTAATGACGACTTTGGAGAGAGTTTACAGTCTCCGATTGAGAAGAGTAAGAGCGCCGCTCAGAAACCCTAGGAGAGAGAGAGAGAGAGAGAGAGGAACGAGAAGGGGGCGAATGGCTAAAAATCCAGAAAATATTTTTTTTCGTTTTTATAGAGTTGGTTTTGTGCATAAAAAGTATTAATGTAACACATTAAACTATTAGTACCGTACATTTTTTAAAATAGAGGAAGTTTTGAAAGTTTTACGCCCTCCAAAAAAAACAAAAAGTAGTACGCAGGAGTTGGGTATTATAACTTTGGATCGTGCTAGGAAGGTCGAATCTGAGCTCTTTCGAATGTCTTGAATTTTATTTATTTTTATTTTTTTTTAGCAGAAGGAAGAAAGAAGAAGAATGAAGAAGGAAGAAAGGAGGAGGAGGAGGAGGAGGAGGAGGAGGAGGGATTGGAGGGGGCATAATATTCGGGGGAGGAGGAGGAGGCGGAGGCGGGGCGACGGCGGTCAGAGGCTGCGACGAGCTGCGGCGGGGCTGCGACGTCGGAGCTGCTGCGACGGAGGCACAGGAGGGGACGATCGGCGGCGGAGCTGCTTCTCTCCTCTTCTCTCTCTTTCTCCCTCTCTCCTCTTTCTCTCTTCTCTTTCTGTCCCTCTTTCTCTTCCTCTGCAGACTGAAAATGGAAAAAAAAAAAAAAAAAAAAAAAAAAAGCCTAATGCCCAAAATGACGTCGTTTTGGGCATTAGGAGGTTAGGGAGGCTCATTTTCGAGCTCTCAAGTATTATTCTATAACTTTTTTTTTATGGAAAATGCCTCGTCCAGTGGGGGTGATCCCACCACCCTATTGTTTTTTGATTGGTTTAAATTTTTTATTTTTATTTTTTTTCAATCTTATTCTTACAGCTCCCACGTGAAGGTGGAGGTGGGGTACTGGGAGTCCTCCCATTGGGAGTCCACAGCACTGTTATTTTTTTAATATAATTCATTTTATTTTTAGTTAATTTTTTTAAAATATCTCAAATTTTAAATTTTTTTGAAATTCCTAATTGATAATTTGACTTCAAATTTAAATGAAAGTTATTAAAGATTTTTATTATTAGGGAAAACTACACTAAGAGCATCACCATAAGTAACCTTATATTTTACTTCAAAATACTATTAAAAAATTCATTTCTTATTTTCGAAATCACTTTTTTATTTACATCTCCGAACAAACTTTCTATTCTTTTCCTATTCTTTCCTTAAAATATTCTTTCACTAAACATCTTCTTAACTGGGGTTGGTGTTCATTACTCGGCTTGAATCAGCCTTTCAATGCAGGTAATCTTCATTGTAGCTAACATCAATGGGGTCTAAACCAATCACAAAGAAAAGTAAACAGTGTAGACACATCATTGCAATGAAAAGTATATAATGTAAAAACATATATGATGTATACATAGCTTATTCATGGGGTTCTCTGCAACTCAGTCGAGGAGAAAAAATGGGTGGTCCACCGACCGGATGTCTGGGAGGTTGATCTGCCGGACATCCGGATGGACGACCAGCGAAGCAAGTTTTGCCCAAATTACTCATCTGGGACATCCAGGTGGACGACTACTGTCAGATATGAGGGAGTTACAGTGACTCCCTACAAATAGAGAGTCACTGTAACAAATATTAGTTTAGGGTGACTTATAAGGGAGCTAATAGGGTGGTATCAGGGATCTCCAACCCCTTAAAATATGTAAGGGAATGATTTAAGGGAACTGAAAGGGATACTCTAACACCCCTTAAGTTTCTATTTAATACAAAACTCTTTCTCATATTTGAAAATTACGACTTCGTTTGGTAAGCTTCTCAAATTATAGTTTCACCCATTGATTTGAGTGTGTTGTTTGTTTTAAGCTTTTAAATCATAATTCTATACCTGTTTATCAAAACTCAATTCAAAACATAATCATTACTTTTCAAAACTCATAACCAAACACATAATTCAAAATCCTTTTCAAAACTCAATTCAAATCAATATTTTAATTTTTTAAATATTTATATATTTTAAAAACATTTTAATTTTGTTAAGATTTTAAATATTTTAGGGCAAATTACAAACACCCCCCTCGAGATTTGGTGAAAATACAGATTCTCTCCTGAGGTTTGAGAAATTACAAATTGTCTCATGAGGGTCAAATTTTCATAACAAATTAGGAGAAATTAGGGAAGAATTTGTATGAAAATAAAAACCTCAGGGGGTAATTTGTTATGGAAATATAAACCTCAGGGGGCAGGATGTAATTTCTCAAACCTCAGGGGAATCTATATTTTCACCAAACTTCGAGGAGGGTGTTTGTAATTTGCCCAATATTTTAATATTTAAATATGTTACGATTTTTTTAATTTTTTTAATATTTTTAAATATTTTAATTTCAAAATATTACGATTTAATTTTAAAATATTTTATAAAAAAAAATTCAAACTCTATTTTATAAAAATATTTTTAAATATTTTAATTTTTTTGTTATGTATTTGAAAGAACTTAAAATACATAAATTATTAACAATAATTTATTAATTGAGTTTTATTTTACGTGTTTGTTTACGATTTGAGTGTAAAGTTGTTTTTAAATTTAAAATATTAACATTTTAAATTATTTTTATTTTTTGAATATTTAAATTATTTAACATTTTAAATTATTTAAATTTTTTGAATATTTAAATTTTTACGATCTAAATTTTTTGAATATTTATTTTAATTTTTTACTTATTAAATATTTTAGATTATTTAAATTATTTAAATTTTTTGAATATTTATTTTGGAAAAAAATTATTTCATTTGTAGTATTTTCAATTAAAAAATTGATTAATATTATTTTTTGTTAATAATAATTTTTTTTAATTGAATTTTAAAAAGAGTTTGGTTATGAGTGTTAATCAGAATTTTCAATAGTGTGAAAGTAGTGTGTTTTGTTATGAGTTATAACAATTTGAATTAAGTTTTGAAAATTCTCTCCAAAACGCATAACCAAACAAATTTTCTTACTTCACATGTCAAATCAAACTTTCAAAACTTAATTCCACACTCAATTCAACACTCTATTCAAAAACTATAACTAAACAAATTTTCTACATTCAAATTATAATTCCACAACTCACAAACTCAAAATACAACTCATACTTTCAAATCATATTTACAAAACTCTACCAAACACAACCTACATTTTCCTTTCAGAGGTTTGTAATCTCATTACAAGTTGTCTCCTAAAGCCCCGTTTGTTTTCAGAGGTAGAATTGAGGGAATTCATAGTAAGGGGATTAATACTGAGGGTATTGTTAGTGAGAGAATTGATAGTGAGGAGATTAAGTAAAATTGTGTTTATTTTTATAATAGTTGTTAGTGTAGAAATTGTTAAATTATTTTTATATAAAAAAATACAAAAAATAAACATTAATGTTAAAAAAAATGCCCTACATGTAAAAAATAAAAAATAAAAAATTTAATCCCCCTCACTATTTTTCTAATACCACCTCCACTTTTTCCATCTCAATCCCCCTTCCAACGTCCATTTTAATCCCTTCCTCTATCCTAATCCTTTTCCTAGCTCTACAAACAAACACAACACTAAATGGGTCCCACCTCGATCATAATCCCATCCCACCCTCTACACCCCAAAACAAACGAGGCCCTAGGTTGCTGATGTCATACCCTACATTTTTTTAAATCACCATCTTGCCCTTTTCCCTACTATTTGTTCTTCCTATCATCATAACTATACGTTACAACTTTCCATTATTAAATTTTACTTGAACATATTTTTATTGAATGATGATTTATAAATATAAATTTTATATAGAATTTTAAGATCAAATTCGGAGAGAAAAAGCAACCAACGGGTTAGCCTACCCGTAAGCGTTGGTTTCTCAAAGAGATATTTGATGGGATCTAATCTCAAAACCAGGATTACAGAGTGAGCTAACAAGTAATGCCTCAACTTCTAGGTAACCCACACCAAGGCTAGATAAGATTTCTCGAACGGACTGTAACAGGTCTCGTAATCCAGTATTTTCTTTCTCAAGTAATAAATGGCCTTCTTCACCTTGGCCTCTGACTCCTGAGCTAACATACAACCCATGGTTGAGTTTGTCACTGACAGGTACAAAATCAACGATTTTCCCAATTCTGGCGGTGATAACACAGGCGGATTCTGCAGGTACTACTTGACTTGTTCAAAAGCGAACTGACAGCGATCGTCCCATTGAAATTTCTTTTCTTTCTTTAGGAGACTAAATAGTAGTTCACAAGTTAAGGTTAGTTTTGAAATAAACCGCCTTATGAATTGCACTTTACCCAGAAAGCCGCGCACCTTCTTTTCAGTCATTAATGATGGCATTTATAAGATGGCCTTGATTTTGAAAGGATCTACCTCAATTCCTTTCTGTGTGATCAATAATCCCAATATTTTTCCTATTGTTACATCGAAAGTGCATTTTTGTAGGTTCAACCTCAATTTTTATTCTCTAATCCGCTGAAAGAATTTCTCCAAGGTGTAGTGGTCCTCTCGATATTTGGACTTGACAATCATATCATCCACATATAGCTTAATGGTGACCTTTCACTTTAAAACAAAATACACATACACATAAACATTATTTATATTTATAACAATATCACTATCACAATATTTTTATGATATTTTATATAAAATTTTCATTTTTATTTTCACCATTATATTACAAAATATTATATTTTTTGAGCATATAGATTACGTGTATCTAAAAAATAGAAATAAAAAATTACTTAAAATATTAAAAAATTAATAATAAAAAAACTTAAAAAAACTTAATATTTTGTGAGAGTTAAATCAAAGAAGATGATTATTATTTTTTTTGAAACGACATAAACAAAATATTTATATTATTTTATTATTTTATATGTATAAAAGTTAAGGAACAAATATATCATTTTAATCTGATAAGAAGATAAATGTAATTTTTCAAATATCAAAAAGGGACTTTTATTAAATAAACATCTCAAAAAATGTCAGTATAATTTATCCTCATTCTTCTTCTTCTTATCATTTAATAAATTAGTATCTCAAAGTTGTTTAAAAATTTAAGTGAACATTATTAACCTCACCTTTTGAGTATTACGATATTTATGATTTGTTGACTACAA